AAAGAACCAGAAAAGTCCCTAAATCTGCAACTTCAATGGTTGTGCACATTTGCTGCCATTAATCTCCAAACACACACAGTGATTTTCTGCTACTTCCTAAACACACTATGAGCTAACAGTCAAGGGCACATCTATTATCCAAACCCCATTAACACATGAAGGGCCACCATGTGAAAGAATAACCTCCTTAGAAACACTGATGAATATTCTGACCTACAGCCAGTTACTTTACCTTCCGACATGTCAGGAAGCACTGGGGAGCCACTGGTCCCTGAAGTTAATGTCCTGGCCAGAAGAGAAGGAAGCTTCCTCATGGTGCACAACCTATAGGCAGAGCAGAAGAATTTAGTGTCATTAAAACTATTGCCATGAAAATAACTTAGGATTCATTTCTGGAATGGTGCTGATTACTTCAGAAACCCCACTCCTTATTTTTAGCCTGGTTTTTAGAACCAGATACAATCAGTACAACAGCTCAAGCCAGCTGAAATTCCAACTGATACCTGTCCTTATCTGAAAGCAAGAAGGAAGAATGGTTCACTGGTGGAAACTGTTCTCTTCACTGACTATTCAGATGCCCTGGGACAGCCAGCTTAGCCCAAACACCAGCTTCTACTCTGCAGACATCCTAACACAGACGGGGTCCAGGTGCATCTAGGAAATCATCCACGACCCTCACCATACACTTCTGCACTTGGCTGGTGTGCGTGGCAGTGGAAGGAAGAATATCCACAGAATGGTATCACAAGGCCTCCCACACAGTACTATTCAGCTAAGCCTGGTCTTCTCCATGGCTGAGTACTGCTGCAACTCAGAACAAGCCTGAAGTGCAGGATACAATACTCCTAGCTGTTCAGCAAGAGGGAACAACCATTAAACCCTTCAGAGAGTGTAATCTGCTCAGAAATTCAGTAAGTTTTCAAGCCGGTAGTAGCCAGTGTAAGTCCTCCAGGCAAGCAAAACTGTGGTAACACGAAAATACACAGAGGGTCGGCAGGAGTAAAACCCATCATGATATCATGGTGTTACCCTGACAAGGCACATCGGTTGCCTGTCCCTTCATTTTCTTCAGCTGAGGCTGGGGTTTCACCTCAAAAAAAGAAGAAGAGGCAAGTCCCCAGGCACCAGCGGAAAAGTAGGGCCATGTACACACCTGTCTGTATGTATACATCTCTCACGTACATACCTACACATGTATACCACATATACACAAGCTTCCTGTGTCTGCAGGTACGGCGGGAGTACTCAGGGCAGTAAAAGGCAAAGCCCTGAGAACCCCGGTCGCACACGCACCGGAGATGTCACGCAGGGCGATGGCCAAAACTCTCTGGGGCTGGTGCAGCGTCTGGACCCGGGTCTCATGGCACGGCCAGCAAACGACTTCCCGCCGAAGCCGGCCCACACCCCCCAGGACCCCGCACCCCGCAGGACCCCGCAGGACCCCGCAGAACCTCGCAGGACCCCGCAGGACCTCGCAGGACCCCGCAGGACCTC